GAACAACAAAAACAAAGGAATTTGCCTTACCGTTCCAATACTTTTGGAGGGGACTGTATGTAAATTGAAATACACGTTTATTCTCTCACTCTGTTTACAGATGGCTGAAAGACAGTAATCTATTTTATTATCATAATCCATTTAGAAAAAGGTTTATAGCCCACATATACCAGCTTTCAATATCGGCCTGTTCTAAGTGTAGTTTATACAGGAAAGGGGTCTACTATCCAAATCATTCTCAAAATCTAAATATCGGCTCATAAATCTGCTCTTTTTCACTTTAATATCGGTCGGGCTCTAGTTGTGTCCACAGAGGGGGCTGAGGTGGCACAGACCTCTATGGGAATCTGATTCATCACCACAGATACCGACATTTCATGATAATTAAGCCAAATCACATTGAGCAGTTGCATTTTGGGAAATATGAGGTCCCGTGTTGTTGAAGCTTGACCCGTACCACAAACTAAGGCTGTATTCGGCAGTTGGCAAACAAAAGCAAACTCTTCAATGTGCCAAAAATACCCGGATGGTATGGAGCACCTGAAGTTCCATAAGATGAAATTTTTAATCTTGTGCGCACAAGATAATGCACCAAAATGGAACAACAGCACCACAGAGAAAGAGTCATTCACTACCACTAGAGTAACATTACTTACTGCGGTCTAACTGTTAGTAAGTGTGACAGTGATCTCATTTATAATATTCAGTCCAGTACATTTAGCTCTGCTCACATTGCTTAGCCTCTGGTGAAAGACGTACACATTTTAATGTTAGTGAAAAGCACAAAGGCGAGCTAACGACAATGTAGCCCATCAACTAAATGCGGTCACTGTAACATTATCATGTAACGAGCATGGGTTAGTTCAACCTCAAGCTGATAAAAATAGTACTGTTACAGTGGGAGTTTACCTGAGTTTCCAGCACGTTGCGTGAAGCGGTCTCCCTGTCTGTCTATAGCCGCTGTCACTCTGCCTTTTTTGCGGGAGTATTGAGCCATTCTGCGGCTCGCTGTGCTGAATGAAAGGCATGGAGCCGGTCTTGATCTGTCTCTGGGCCGGGAACATTGAACAGAGCCTGAACATATGCCAGTGTTTCTGTGCTTTTTGCAGGATCTGTGTATAAAAGCTGTTGTGTTTCAGATTTTGCTCGCTCATGAGTTCAAGCGAGCATGCGTACGAGCACACACCTGGTTGCAATCTTAGAACTGCACAGCTAGTGGTCGCTGAAAACTCCCCTTTCCCCATAAAGAGAGATGCTGCATCCTAAAGGTTTATTAGACCCTTCTACGATGCCATTGCTTTTCTGCTGCGAGCTATCATGAGAGCAACAGGTGCAGTTGTCATGCCTGGGATGTGTTTTTGTATGCGTGTGTTGAACAGTTGAAGGCACCTAGAACAGGAGAGGCCATCGCTGTTTCCTGCTTTGGCTGTTAAAAGCAGACTGACTGGGTGGTGTGTCTCATCTAAATTGTCTCAGATCCTTAAACAAGTAGCAGAGAGGGAGAGAGAGAGAAATCAGACACACAAACTCCCATTTACTAGGAGAAGTGCCAAATCATTGCAGGAAATTATGTCTCCTCGTGCCACGAACTGAGGACAACCAGTGGAAACTCAGACTAGCCTGATAAATAAATGTACTGTAAAAATTTTCAAATTATTTTCATTGTTTTTATTTCAGTAAATAATAATTATTATTATATTATTATTGTGAGAACTGTGGCTTGGCAAAGTTGTTGATTAGCACCCAGCAGCTAGCGTGCTCAGACTTTGATTACCATATGGCACCAAATTACTTATGAAAAATGAGATAATACAGCATATTCAGCCCCAACATGTTACCGCGGGGGGAATGACTTCACCGCGACAGCCATATGTAGGTCACGTTATTTACAGCGACTGAGAGGTGGAGAAGCTGTGTACCCGAGTACTGGTAAAACCACAATAAATCTATATTGAACGTTACGAAGCAAACAGCAGCAGGTCCGAGCTACTGTAGCGTAAACTGGCTAGTAAAAAAAGAAAATAAATTGTAAAATGGGTCATTTGGTGAACTAATGTGAAAAGCGATAAAACCTTGCACCGGAAAACGTTAGCATCTGCTTGGCGTTAGCTAACGTGACTCTCGTGTTTTTACTCGAAATCATCTGAATGTTTTGGTTTGATGGGCTTCAGCAAAAAACCTCTGTGTTTTATGGTGTTAGTGGACTGCATTTCATTTGATGCAGTGTTGTTGCTGTAGTCTGCGAGAGGCGGGCGGGCGCAGGGCTAAATTCGACCCGCTGTCCTCACTTCCAAGTGAAAATCATTAATGTTAATTGACGTTTGATACCAACACTCTGAACACTCAGTGAACTATGAGGGCAAAAACTAAATAATCAATCGTTAACCGTAATAGAGGTAAAATGTTCAATTAATCGTGATTTAGATTTTAGGTCATATCGTCGAGCACTAATAAGAATTCGTAAAATGCATGAAGCAGTCGCAAATACTCACAGACACATCAACACTATGGAGGATCCTCTCGTCCCCGGTGTCAGAGTCTTGGTCGGGGCCCCTGTAATTCACTCAGTACTGAGGTGAATTATGGGGCCCAGGTTATGCACATAGACTGTATATAAGAAATGGATGTAGTCATCGTGACCTCACCCGTTGGTTTGTGGACTGCCATCTGAAGCCTCGAGTTTGGCCGATAAGGTGCGATAAGGTGTTGATTTTTTTGCAACCAGGAAGTGCCCGGACATATTTGGATGAGACGGTGGAGCTAACGGCCGTGTGTGGAGCTAGTTAGCTTGCTTAGCTTGGTGCATCTGTAATTCACCTTAACTGTCATTTTAACAGGGTTAGGGTTACTTAGTCTAGCGAACGAGAGTCTTAAAATTAAATGTACTCACCAGAACAGCCAACTCCTAATACGCTTTTTCAACGGCGCTGGTTAAATTTACGCAGTGCCATTGGTACGAATCACTCTAGCCCGATTGACAGGTCACCATGGTAACGACTTGTCAATAACAGATAATCCAGCCCTAAAGCCTACTCTGCTTTTTGTTTTCGTTTATAGTCTGTATACATATGTTCTCTATACTGTAGCCTGTGTTTGTTTTTATTATTGTATTATTGAGTAAGTCAGCACATCGTGAGCATTGTACAATCCTGAGTCAAATTCCTTGATGTGTTTACCTGGCAATCTGTGTATGGATCGTTCTTTGATTATTCCGTTTCAAAACCAAATCACAAAAAAACAAAAATACAAGTCGTTACTTTTTTTCCTGTTTTCAACCCAAAACGGAAAAACAAAGCAGCTGCATTTTGTACGGTTTTGTATCCATACAACCCGTTCTTACTGCATGTAGGTCAAGACCCTCCAGCGTCAGTTTGTAACACACTGGGGATCCCTATAGCGTGGGGGAAGCCCTGTAGCGTCAGTTTTTGACTGTAAAGGCGGGTATATTTTTAACAGAAAAGACTGAGTGAGGACGTGTTTGGGGTGGATGGAGGGCCAGAACACGGACTTTGAACAAGGAGACCGGTGTTCGTGTCCCGTGTGAAACAAGAAGTCAATATTACATATTTATATATTTAATTTTATATAGGCCAAGGCTACTTTTCAAGTCGCATCTCATATCAACTGTGGCAAAAATTATTGTGGAAGGGAGCACTATAGGCCTATTACAGCCACACAAGAAAAAAGAAATATGAGAATATGTGGGCTACGTGTTTTGCGAGATCAAGGAAGCATTTTATTTTGGGCTGAGCTGAAGCAGCTGGTTACCGCGTGGCTACCGGTACATTGAGTGTCAATGAACATTAACACACGTGAAAATCAAATTAGAAAAAACACAACTGTGGATATGTAGATAAATCGTGATCTTTTACCTAATTTTTATATTTATTTTACTCATGTGCAGTGTCACATCTGTCTGCGCAATGCGCGTGTCAGATCTCTCCACCGTGCCGTGGCTGCCTGAAGTTACACTGTAAATTCCACTAACCACAAGAAAACAAAAAGGGGAAAAGAGCACAACGAGTGTTACTTTGTGGCTATAACAACGCTGTTGACACAATGTACAGATAACCTGCAACCCCTGCTGGAGCAAGAGAACTATATACCAATCAGTATAATGTTTAATTAGGCTATAATCAAAACTCATGTTAGGTCAAATTTTCGGGAAAAACCGGAAAGGGGTCGGGACAACTGCTCATAATTCGGGACTGTCCCGGATTTTTCGGAACGTCTGGTCACCTTAAGTGTAACACACAAATCGGACATATTAAATATCAAAAATTTTATATTTTTCCGTTTTGGTTTTAAAATCGTAAAAACACAAAACTTGTTTTTTTTCTATTTGGTTTTGAAACGAAATAATGAAAGAACGAACAAATAAAGCGGATTCTTTATGGTCTATTTTCTTCTAAACCATAAATTATTGAATGAACATCATGTTCTGTTGAAGAAGACTTGAAACTAGCGACTGAGACCATGAACCCATTATGAAAGTGTTTACTGATAAATCAGCTGAGAAGCAGGGTCACTTTACCATAACTCAAAGAGTACAACTTCTCAGGCCATGTGGCCTCACACACAAAGTCAACAGTGGAAGGAGACTATCCGTCTGAAACAGCTAAGATATGACAACATTTGCGACACATCTGGGACTCACCAGTTAATTCAGCCACCAGTTAAACTGTCACACCGGCCGAACCGGAAGTTAACTGTAGCTTTGTCCCGCTAGCTAGCATGCTAACACCCAGGCAGCAGGCTACATGCTACAAGAGACCTCCTGCTCCTCCTCCTCCTCCTCCTCCTCTTCCTCCTCCTCTCCGGTTCCGACCGTCACATTAAGTGTGGGTTCTGTAGAGATACGGGGTTCTGATGGCTCCACTGTTGAATCCTGCTACATTACATCTTGTTTACAGTCAATATGAAGCTACGTGTCGGAACCAGGCCGAGCTAACGCCACGTTAGCTTCTTGTTAGCTGCTAGCTGTGTTCATGAACACTGACCTGAACATCGGTGCTATCAGAGCTCGAGCCTGCTGTTTGTCCTCCGGGGACGTTGTTGCTCCGGGGCTCCGGGTCCTGGTTGTCCTCCTCCATCCCGCTCTTGGTCCTGGTCTCTGAGATCCAGCAGGTCTCCTCTGGGACTGTCGGAGCTCTTCGGATCAAGTCCTGCAGCCCGCGAGACGTGACGGAAGTTAAAGGAAGTTGAAAACGTGATGACGTTTATCTACAAATCCACCAAATCCACAGATCTTTTCTTTGACTCGCAGAAGACTGTGAAAATGATCAGGGTTGCTGAGTAGCATTAGGATTTGAAAAACAACTTATCTCCTGCAATTGATGGCATTACTTTAGATTTTTATTAAAAGTATTTTAGAAGTTATTTGCTGAACAACTAACTCGTTTTTTGCTTGAGGTCTTCATAGAAAGTATAAAAAAAAATGATCTCCCTCAGGCCATACAGGCTAATGTACTTAATGTAGACACTACAGGTGAACACAGTGACGTTTGTGTCTAACAACGTCATCACAATCGCCACATTGATATGCAAATTAGGCGTTAACTAATTAAAATGCGCTTATTTGACAAGTCACTGCAGGTGAATAGGATAAAGAAAATAACTAAAGCATATCACCACAACTTCCTCAGTTAATGACTCAAAAGTACATCAAGAGTATTTTCCTCTGAAATGTTCTGAGTAAATATGCAGATTAGCTTGATTTGGTTAATTTAGAATAAATGTACAGATGCAAACAGACGGACGGTAGCAGGCTTAAAACCAGCACCATCTAAATGTGTATTCTTCAAGTTTTAAAAGAAGTCATGAAGCACAATAGACCAAAGTCTCAAAAGGGATCACTATATGAAAAAAGTGCCTTCTTTGAACAGTAATGTAACGTGGTTTATAGGTACGCGTAACCTTTATAGGAGGCTCTAACGTTACACAAGGACCACGGCTTTATTGTTCCCCCTTCAAACAGCCACCTGCAAAAGGTTCCTACCTCAGTAGTTAACCTGATACTACATCCCCCTTTCTAAACAAAGGATAGTCTTTGTGCAGATGAAGGAATAAACATTAAGAGCATTTCTAAACAGAAGGCTCTTCAGGTTACTTCTTCTACTGCAAAATATAAACCATTCCATCATTAAAATGTGATCAAGATCAGTAACAGTAATAAAACATAATTATGGCTTCTCAACTTTTGCCGTACTGTTCGGCTATGAAACACTTTGAACATGTGCCTCTGTGAACAATTAATTGGCTTCTAATAACAACAAAAGTTGGCAAAAATCAACTACTCACTGCCCTCCCCCATAACTCAGGTGTCGTTCCTTAGAACAAACAAAGTCTTTCAAGTAAGATGGAGGATTCCTTATTTGGGCTGGGAAACGTCTCTCACCACAGTGCCTCTTTCCACTGTGTCTTTGACTCACACATGATCACCGGGGTGAAGGTATGACATGTCGCGTGCTCTGTGTCTTCTGTCATAGTTCTGTCGCACTTCCTGTCTGTACCTTTGTTCTGTCCTTTTCAGGTGGTCCATGTCGGCGCATCCTGGGTTGAACTTGGATGGAATGACAGGAACTGGTGTTTGTATTTTCCTTCCCATCAGAAGCTCAGTGGGACTGTATCCACTCGCCAGGGGAGCAGCTCGATAGGCCATCAGGGCGAGATAAGGGTCGCTGGATTTCTTGAGGAGACTTTTGATTGTCGTCACAGCACGCTCAGCCTCGCCGTTGCTCTGTGAGAAATGGGGACTGGATGTAACACGACAAAAGCATCAATCCTATGCGAACTTTCTGAAGGTCTCGGATGCAAACTGTGGGCCGTTGTCTGAGCGGATCACTTCAGGTACACCATGACATGCAAAGATAGACTTGAAGTGATCAATCACAGCTCCAGAAGTTGTGGATGTCAGTTTGGCTACTTCAAAATATCTTGAGAAATAGTCCACAATGACCAGGTATTGTTTGTTGTCTATCTGGAACAGGAACAAATCTGCTCCTACAGTAGACCATGGTCTTGGCGGGAACTCAGTAGGCATCATACGCCACAGGTTTCCATTCTGTATCTGGTTGCCGCTGGAGAAGAACGGGGCCCATCCCATATGAGGATGAGTCAGCAGAGACAAGCGTTTCAGCGTTAGGGTCATACAATGCAAGCCCTGGGGGTGTCGTCAGCTCTTCTTCGATGCTATCAAAGGCCTGCTGTTGTTGCGACCCCCAGGCCCACATATTGGACTTTCTCAGCAGGTCTCTGAGAGGTCACGTTCTCTCAGCCAAGTGAGGCAAGAACTTCCCCAGGTGGTTTGTCATCCCCAGAAAGCGTCTCACCTCGCTGACATTACTGGGCGCTGGCATGGCTTTTACAGCGCTCACTTTATCAGGGTCAGCGCTGACTCCTGATACCTCAAAGACCTGCCCCAGGAACTTTATCCTGTTCTTGAAAAACTCACACTTGTCGTTAAGCGTCACTCCTGCCTCCTGCAGTCGTTAAGCGTCCTCTCCACAGTCTCTCATCATGCTCCGTCTGTGTGGCTCCCCAAATGAGCGCATCATCCATCTGACACAGAACGCCCTCCAGGATGCGTGACATGCGCTTCTGCAAGTGTTCTGGTGCTGGCGAGATTCCACAGCACAGGCGATTGTAACAATACCGCCCAAATGGAGTTATGAAAGTGGTTAGCAGAGATGACTCCTTGGACAGTGGAATCTGCCAAAATCCTGCGTTGGCGTCTAGCTTTGAAAACACTTTGGCCCCAGCAAGCTGTCCTAAGGTGTGTTCAACTGAGGGGGGGGGGTGGGTGACTGTGCGTTCACCATTCAGTGGACTCCTCCACTGCTCCATACGGTCCAGCTGCTCTTTGACCTTCGGCAGGACTGGGAGGGAGATGCGCCTGAGAGTTTTACTTTTTTCTCTTTGGAGTCCAGGCTAATGTTTTTTAATCTGACAACCAACTGCAGTGCCACTGCAGCAAGCCCGCCTAGCAGTGGTGTGCACAGCCCCTCCACAACATATATTTCCTCTTTAAGTACTTTTACTGTTCTTTCTGAGAGTGGCTGTGAACTTGCCCTTCACATTCAGACGAGTCCCTCCAGGCCCCAGCAGAACCTTTGTTGGCCTCTCCAGCCTGCTGAACTGACCCTGTTTGTACAGCGTTTCAGGTATTGTGGTGACCATCTGCGCCAGTGTCGATTTTAAACCGTGCATTGAGATTATCCACATGTATGTCTGTCATCCATGGGCTGCCATTTGCTTCCGCTGACAGTGAGCCCAGAAATGCAACTTCCTCATCAGTGTCCTCAATCACTGCAGCTACATGCACTTCACACACTCTGGCGTAATGTCCCTTTTTGCTGCAGTTGTTGCACATTACGTCCCTAGCTGGACATTGTTGTAGGCCATGCCATCTTGAATCACCACATCTTCTGCATTGGTGTCTTTCCTGCTGTGTTTTATCTGTTTGCTTGTGCATGCTGTCAAGCTGAGTGTTGGAGAAATCTGTTCATTTTTAGCACTTCTTGTTACTCCTTACTCCTTTACCTGCTTGCTTTGTTAATTTCTTTCTCTAGTCATTTCAGGATCGAGTTGTAGCTGTTCTGTCGAGCGTTTATCTCTCAGACCCACAACAAGTCTTATCTCTCACCATTTCCTCATGCAGAGCCCCGTATCCGCAGCGCTCCGCTGGGAGGCTCTAACGTTACACAAGGACCACAGCAGTGTGTTGGTTGATCCCACGGATTTATTGTTCCTGCACAAGGTTCCTACCTCAGTAGTTAACCTGATACTACAAGTAACTTCATAGCTTTGATGGCAGGCTCCTCATCTGATTCCTATCCATTCTATTAGTTTGTTGTATGCTGATAGATCTCTACATGATGCAGACAGCCCTTCCATTTCCTAAATGGACTATGTTAATAAAATAGATTACTGTCTCAAAAAGTGAACATGTAAACAATTGCACATCAATAAATATTTGCTCCTGGAAGGTGCAACTTTTTCAGCCATCTGTAAACGGAGAGTGAGAGAGAATAAGCATGTGTATTTCACTTTACACATAATCTGCCATAAATTCAATGTAGTATATTCACATCTAGTTCATCCAGCACTCTTTCTTTCTAACCAAAGCTACGAGAAAACATTTCTCATCATCTGTCTAAATCATGCCATTTATGATACAGTGAGCTGCTGTTGAATGTATCTAATACTACATGACTGTCTACAACAGGACCTGCAGATTAGAGATTTCATTTAACTAACGTTATAACTACAATCAGAGCTGTTACGGCTCTGACTACAGCGTTTCACATCATCTACAACATCACAAAAAGTGAAGCTACAGGAAGCCCTGTTCTTTTCTTGTTTAAGTCACGGAAGGTGACTCTGTTTCTTTTTTAATAGTCATATATCTGCTACTATAAACGGCCGATGCCGATTATATGCAATTAGCTCATATCGGCTGATAATATCGGACGGCTGATATATATCAGTCGGAATCTACTAGCATAGAAAAAAAAGCACACTGTGGCATAGTTTCCTTTGCTGTTGCCTGCTCCTGTGATAAACCTAGTGAATACTAAAGAAGACCCTGGTCTCTGATTATTATTTTGTGGAAATGTAAAAATGTTCAGTATTAACAATTGCGTGAAAGTGAGGGAATTAATTGTGTTAATATATTTAATGTTTTCTTCTCTTCTTTACATTTGTGAAATATCATATCATCATATCCACAAAAATACAGAGTGACTTCTACACAGTTTTTACACATGGGTCCTCCTCAGTCTTTCGTTTATTCTGCAGGCTGAGTGACTGCCAGCGTCACTGGACTGACATTATATAGCTATGCTGTTAATTATGTGACATTTTATAAAGCGTAACGTTATTACAGCGCAGTTATAGTTTTAACGCAGCCGCACTGTTACTTTAGTCCTGCTAGTGTTTAACATTACAGCCAACAGCTGATGAGAGTTGTTCTAATTGTCCCTGACAGGTTTGTACCTGGAGCTGAATTACCTCAGAGGACGTCTCCTCTCCAAAACAAACAGACACAGTCAATAAAACATTAAAACACAGCCACGTAGCAACGTAGCTGATCCAGATCCACCAGAGAACACAAGTAATTTTTCCTTTTTATTTACCAACAGAGCCGTGCTGTTGTTTCGCAGCTCGTGACTGGTGAACAACCTGCAGTGTTTGAGAGCGATGTGCTCATGATTGTTTCTCTGTCTGCAGAATCAGGACCTGATGTGGCCCATTCTGCTTCCAGACCTGCCAAACTGCTGCGTTTATATGTGTTTATTTCTCT